TTATTTATCATTTAATAATTATCTGATTTCCACAGCACATATCTGGTAGCTGTAATTAAAAACAATAAGGAAGACATATCTTTGTATCCTAACCTAAAGCAAGTATGATAAAAACAAAGAGAGACTAAATGACTAGTTTCACATTTCCTACGTCAGAGATCTTCAAACTTGGCCCTTTTATGACTTGTGGACTTCAACTCCCAGAATTCCTCAGCCAGGCACGCTGGCTGAGGAATTCTGGGAGTTGAAATCCACAAGTCATAAAAGGGCCAAGTTTGAAGACCCCTGTCCTACGCTGTCATCAAGTGATTTATCTGAGACTTAGCAAGAGGTGTGAAGTCAGCTGTCAAGATGTGGAAACCAGGGCTTCTGTTCCATGTACTTTATAACCAACCAGAAAAACAGAGGTAGGATTTAGAAGGAAGACAGCACAGAAAACAAAATTTATACAGCTTTCTGAAATATACAACTAAGGAAAAAAACCCAGAAAAACTGAATCAGTTGATAGAAACCAGAAACATCCAGGCATGACACTGCAGCGTGCCATGTCAGACAGAATCACGGAAAAAGTTTAACCAGCTGGTCTGGAAGCCCAGCCAGAAGCTGCAAAAAAACATATTTAGCACTTCATCAGAGAAACCTTAGAGCGGGCATATGTTCTCGTCAATCACAACCATGACAAATCTGTAAACGCAACTCTGAAACTGCAAAATGGAAATAGGGAGTGGGGGGGAGAGATAGTGTTTCCATTCTAACAGATTTATTGGGATACAATTTTCTTATGGACTAGGCCATTTTGTCAGGTCTATGGAAACGCAAAGTAAGCAGGTGCCTAGAAGCCAGGAAAGTTATTTAGTTCTTTTAGTGCTTTATATTTGGTTATTTCTGCTATGTACTGTGGAGGATGGGGTCCTGGCATGCTATTGTCCAAAGACTCAGACATGACTTAGCAACTGAACAACAACAACTTTCTCTCCTTACACTTTCCTCACACACAGCATTCTATAGAAAATCCCAATCTATAGTTTGGGACACTCCTAGCCAGGCTATGTTGATATACTTTTAATTGTTTTGTTTTTGCATTACATAAGCCCCTGGGTCTCCCACAGAGGGAAGCTATAACCAATTTAAATAAACCATGCAATTAATGTCCATTATTCAGATATTCTACTCTTTTAGAATAACCCCAAAGGGTAATGCCTACAGAGGCTCGGCTCTGCGTGGGCCTGGAAAGGCCGGAGCAGCTTCTGGCCTTCAGGGGTTATCCACAGCTGCCCCATGTTGCCTGGGTAGTTGTAGTCCATGTGTTTCTGAAGCTTGGCAGCTGGGGAATTCTGGGAGTTGTAGTCCACTTGTCTGAAAGTTGCCTTCAAGGGAGAAAAATGGGGATACCCCACACTTTGGGGGATCCTGAGAATATTCTCACCTGCCCAGGGCTGTTTCAAAGGAGGAAAGGGGGAAAAGGGGAGAAAAATAAGCTTCCACCATTACAGATCCTGCTTGGAAGAGAGGAAAACGCCTTCACCCCACCCCATGGGCTACTCCCGCTGTCATTCCAATCCAGAAACACCAATAGGGAAAGCGTTCAGCGCTGAAGCTCCTCCCACAACAAAATCACCCCCCTCTCAAGGGCGCCTCCTGCCGTAGGGGTCCCCCACTGGCCACGCCCCCCGTTCCATCAATCTCGCCAGGAGGCGGGATTTTCTTGGCCCCACCACCAATCGAGGCCCGGCCGCCTTTTCCCGACGGGCGTTCACCCAGGATACTCTCCATGTTGGACATGGCGGCGCTTCAGGTGCGGGCCTGGTCGAGCGGCAGTGGGAAACAGAGCGAGGCGGTTCGGTCCCGGCGACCTGTTGGGTTCCTCGTCTTTCCCTCAGCCGCGGGCTTCCTGCTTCCGCCTCCGCCCGGCGAGCTTCACTCCCCGCCTCTTCCGTCAACATCACGTCACGCGGAGCTTGACGAGCAGAAGAGGAGGAGAGAAACGGCAGCTGAGGAGGAGTGGCCGAGGCGCATGCGCACAATGGGAGCGCCGTGTTTGGAAGCCGCTGAGAAGACCGCCCCGGCGCGAGGCTCCTCCTCCCAGCCAATAGAATTTCGGTTTCCTTGATGGCGTCACCGGGAAAGGAGGTGGCTGCACCCTGTCGGGAAGAAGAGGCAACTGCAGGGCTTGGGCGCTTCTCAACCGGGTAACCTAAACGGGGGAGAGTATCCATCATCCCCTGCCAATGGAATATGTAGTATTTCGCATCTGGGAAGGAGCCTCGGACGAGCAAGGCAAGGAAGTGGTCCATGCAGACTTACGGGAATTCACCCTCCTATCATTCCTGATTAATGGCCAATTGATTAAATAGCGAGAAGGGAATTTTTAACGTTCTGTCCTAACACAGGAGGCTGCAACGACATTGGATTTTAGCGCGATCTAATTATTTCTAATATATTTCTAATTATTTATAATCTAATTATAATCTGAGAAAAGCAAGTGATGGAAAACGAGGCCACCTAATCACTGCCTCCCTCTGCAGATCGATCTGCAGCTCTGGAACCGATCGCACACCGGTGTTTCTCAACCTCTTGGCAGCTTTAAGCTGTGTGGGCTTCAACTCCCAGAATTCCCCAGCCAGAATTCTGGGAATTGAAGTTTACCTGTCTTAAAAGGTCCCAAGATTGAGAAGCATCTGTAGAGAGCGTCCTGCGTGATTTTAACTCAACTGAATAAAATTAGGTTAAAATAAGAGTGCCTCTATTTTTTTTTATTTATGGAGACTACTTCCACGTTGCTAATGCGCAGTGAATATCGTTTTTCCAACGAAGTGAGAGCACCGGGTTTAAAAGGGATACGGCCTGCCTTGGATGCCCTGCGTTATTTTGGGGGGACGAGCTTTGGTTGCCCCCGTCGTTCTGTAAAATAAGTAGATCTATAGCAACGAGTGAGCTTATTTATATCAATCAGGCTGCCCAAGTCCCGAGGATGAATGAATGAATGAATGAATGAATCAAGTTCGACTCCGCCTCTTTTCTAAAAGAAAAGCTTCAGCCCCGCCCCGAGGCATAACCTGAATGGCTAACCCGCCTCCAACTCATTTGCATGGCGCTCAGTGATAGGCTGGGTAGGCTGGAGTATTAGCGCGCAGATTTAAGCTTGAGCTATGAAATCATTTTTCCTCCCTCTTAGAATTGATGGCAATTTTTCAGGAGTAGGTGGACGAAGGCTTTATGAGATGCCCTTGTGGCCTTAGAGACAACTGAAGGAGTCGAGGGCTGAAACAGAGACCCTGCATCCCATGTCAGAGTTGACCCATTGGCCCATGTTCTCTCCTTAAATAAGATAGCAACCTTGTACTCAATACATATTATTGATACCCAAAACTTCCAGGAGAGGGTTAAAATACCACCAATACACATGGTTCCTTTGTTCTGCTCCAGTTCCCTGAAGACACAAAACAGCACCAAATGGAAGGGGTATTTCTCCAGTGGTGGGATTCAGCTGGTTCAGACCAGTTCGGCAGAATCGGTAGCTAATTTTTTTAAAAAAAATAATTTTTATTGAATACAAAAGAAAAAAAGAGATTAAAAACATTGAACATGGTACATCATCTTTGACATACATCTCCGTCTTGTCAGTCCATACTGTACATTTAAATATATATGATATATCTATATACAACTGTACATTCCTAGTAGCTAATTTTTTTGTTGCCCAGGCCCAGAATGGACTTCCAGAAGCGGCATCCACACAGAGAAACGGTTGTTCACCTATTTGAATCCCACCACTGTATTTCTCCCAAATTTGAAACGTTGGTTTATGATGGAATCTGCAGAAAGAAGTCCACTATGGCTTGTTCAGCAAAGTACACTTAAAACAGGTCATGATTTAGGATGATATGTTAATTCTAACATATAACAGCTACCTGTAACTCAGTGGTTCTCAACCTTTTTAATGCCGCGACCCCAACCGGTCGTAAGTCGAGGACTAAACCAGTCGTAAGTCGAGGACTAAACCGGTCGTAAGTCAAGGACTATCCAACCGGTCGTAGGTCGAGGACTTTCCCTGCCCGGGCGCGCCGCACATGCGTGGTTCTGCCCCCTGCGCCGGCCGAGGCGTAGCTGGCAAGCGGAAGAGATGGAGCAGGCCGACCACCAGCTGGCCCAGCCCAAGGGAAGTAAGGCACCCGCTGGAAAAGGGGAAAAAAATGGCGGACAAAAAAATGGCGGACAAAAAAATGGCAGACAGCCTTGCTTGGCGACCCCCATGAAATGGTCGATCGACCCCAAATGGGGTCCCGACCCACAGGTTGAGAACCACTGCTCTAACTCCACATGCATTCTGCGCTGGAGTCTCTTTTTATCTAGACGAGGACTTCTGTCCTTTAAGTGAGAATCTGTCCTCTAGTTACCCTGATTATAGGAGAATCAGATCTGAATCTTTTATCTACTTGAATTTGAAGCTGTATAGATTCACACACCGCAATAAGCAACGATATGGTTTGTTTGACATTTCCTTACTGGCTACGGGGAGCCAAAGCCACTGTGGTTTGCAAACTATGTTTTCACAGGTTAATAGGTTGTGTAATGCGCTGGTCTACTTTAAAGGATAGTTAAGCAAATTATACATTAGCGTAATATGTGAATCTGGTTTAAACCCCAGAGCACTTCAAGTGAGCGGTTCTCTCCCGTTAGGTCTGTAGGCTCAGATTTCATTCTCAAAACTGAATCTTGGGGAAGCTGAAAGATGGCAAGCAACCTCTGCTGGCGGAATAATCAAGTACAGGAAAAGGTCCCCCCCCCCCAATATGCAAAGCAGAAAAAGGAAAGGACTCATTTGATTGAGCTGTCTGGCGTGTTTACACCCGTGGATTTTCAGTTTCTGGATAGGGTTGCCAGGTGTCCACTATTTGAGTGGACAGTCCACTTTTTTCACATTATGTTCACTATTTTTTTTCACAAAATAGTGGACATTTTTTTTATTCAAAAGCTTTATGATGAAATGGTACGTAATCTAAAGCTGTACAGTCTACTTTTTTTACTACTTAACACCCCCCCCCCGCTTGTCCGCTATTTTTTGGAAGCAGACCNTTATTTATCATTTAATAATTATCTGATTTCCACAGCACATATCTGGTAGCTGTAATTAAAAACAATAAGGAAGACATATCTTTGTATCCTAACCTAAAGCAAGTATGATAAAAACAAAGAGAGACTAAATGACTAGTTTCACATTTCCTACGTCAGAGATCTTCAAACTTGGCCCTTTTATGACTTGTGGACTTCAACTTCCAGAATTCCTCAGCCAGGCACGCTGGCTGAGGAATTCTGGGAGTTGAAATCCACAAGTCATAAAAGGGCCAAGTTTGAAGACCCCTGTCCTACGCTGTCATCAAGTGATTTATCTGAGACTTAGCAAGAGGTGTGAAGTCAGCTGTCAAGATGTGGAAACCAGGGCTTCTGTTCCATGTACTTTATAACCAACCAGAAAAACAGAGGTAGGATGTAGAAGGAAGACAGCACAGAAAACAAAATTTATACAGCTTTCTGAAATATACAACTAAGGAAAAAAAACCAGAAAAACTGAATCAGTTGATAGAAACCAGAAACATCCAGGCATGACACTGCAGCGTGCCATGTCAGACAGAATCACGGAAAAAGTTTAACCAGCTGGTCTGGAAGCCCAGCCAGAAGCTGCAAAAAAACATATTTAGCACTTCATCAGAGAAACCTTAGAGCGGGCATATGTTCTCGTCAATCACAACCATGACAAATCTGTAAACGCAATTCTGAAACTGCAAAATGGAAATAGGGAGGGGGGGAGAGAGATAGTGTTTCCATTCTAACAGATTTATTGGGATACAATTTTCTTGTGGACTAGGCCATTTTGTCAGGTCTATGGAAATGCAAAGTAAGCAGGTGCCTAGAAGCCAGGAAAGTTATTTAGTTCTTTTAGTGCTTTATATTTGGTTATTTCTGCTATGTACTGTGGAGGATGGGGTCCTGGCATGCTATTGTCCAAAGACTCGGACATGACTTAGCAACTGAACAACAACAACTTTCTCTCCTTACACTTTCCTCACACACAGCATTCTATAGAAAATCCCAATCTATAGTTTGGGACACTCCTAGCCAGGCTATGTTGATATATTTTTAATTGTTTTGTTTTTGCATTACATAAGCCCCTGGCTCTCCCACAGAGGGAAGTTATAACCAGTTTAAATAAACCATGCAATTAATGTCCATTATTCAGATATTCTACTCTTTTAGAATAACCCCAAAGGTAATGCCTACAGAGGCTCGGCTCTGCTCAGCTTGGGCCTGGAAAGGCCGGAGCAGCTTCTGGCCTTCAGGGGTTATCCACAGCTGCCCCATGTTGCCTGGGCATTATGGTAATTGTAGTCCATGTGTTTCTGAAGCTTGGCAGCCAGGGAATTCTGGGAGTTGTAGTCCACTTGTCTGAAAGTTGCCTTCAAGAGAGAAAAATGGGGATACCCCACACTTTTGGGGATCCTGAGAATATTCTCACCTGCCCAGGGCTGTTTCAAAGGAGGAAAGGGGGAAAAGGGGAGAAAAATAAGCTTCCACCATTACAGATCCTGCTTGGAAGAGAGGAAAACGCCTTCACCCCACCCCATGGGCTACTCCCGCTGTCATTCCAATCCAGAAACACCAATAGGGAAAGCGTTCAGCGCTGAAGCTCCTCCCACAACAAAATCACCCCCCTCTCAAGGGCGCCTCCTGCCGTAGGGGTCCCCCACTGGCCACGCCCCCCGTTCCATCAATCTCGCCAGGAGGCGGGATTTTCTTGGCCCCACCACCAATCGAGGCCCGGCCGCCTTTTCCCGACGGGCGTTCACCCAGGATACTCTCCATGTTAGACATGGCGGCGCTTCAGGTGCGGGCCTGGTCGAGCGGCAGTGGGAAACAGAGCGAGGCGGTTCGGTCCCGGCGACCTGTTGGGTTCCTCGTCTTTCCCTCAGCCGCGGGCTTCCTGCTTCCGCCTCCGCCCGGCGAGCTTCACTCCCCGCCTCTTCCGTCAACATCACGTCACGCGGAGCTTGACGAGCAGAAGAGGAGGAGAGAAACGGCAGCTGAGGAGGAGTGGCCGAGGCGCATGCGCACAATGGGAGCGCCGTGTTTGGAAGCCGCTGAGAAGACCGCCCCGGCGCGAGGCTCCTCCTCCCAGCCAATAGAATTTCGGTTTCCTTGATGGCGTCACCGGGAAAGGAGGCGGCTGCACCCTGTCGGGAAGAAGAGGCAACTGCAGGGCTTGGGCGCTTCTCAACCGGGTAACCTAAACGGGGGAGAGTACCCATCATCCCCTGCCAATGGAATATGTAGTATTTCGCATCTGGGAAGGAGCCTGGGACGAACAAGGCAAGGAAGTGGTCCATGCAGACTTACGGGAATTCACCCTCCTATCATTCCTGATTAATGGCCAATTGATTAAATAGCGAGAAGGGAATTTTTAACGTTCTGTCCTAACACAGGAGGCTGCAACGACATTGGATTTTAGCGCGATCTAATTATTTCTAATATATTTCTCATTATTTATAATCTAATTATAATCTGAGAAAAGCAAGTGATGGAAAACGAGGCCACCTAATCACTGCCTCCCTCTGCAGATCGATCTGCAGCTCTGGAACCGATCGCACACCGGTGTTTCTCAACCTCTTGGCAGCTTTAAGCTGTGTGGGCTTCAACTCCCAGAATTCCCCAGCCAGAATTCTGGGAATTGAAGTTTACCTGTCTTAAAAGGTCCCAAGATTGAGGAAGCATCAGTAGAGAGCGTCCTGCGTGATTTTAAGTCGACTGAGCAAAATCAGGTTAAAATAAGAGTGCCTCTATTTTTTTTTATTTATGGAGACTACTTCCACGTTGCTAATGCGCAGTGAATATCGTTTTTCCAACGAAGTGAGAGCACCGAGCTTAAAAGGGATACGACCTGCCTTGGATGCCCTGCGTTATTTTGGGGGACGAGGTTTGGTTGCCCCCGTCGTTCTGTAAAATAAGTAGATCTGTAGCAACTATTGAGCTTATTTATATCAATCAGGCTACCCAAGTCCCGAGGAGGGAGGAATGAATGAATGAATGAAGTTTGACTCCGCCTCTTTTCTAAAAGAAAAGCTTCAGCCCCGCCCCGCGGCAGTTGCGTTCGGCATAACCTGAATGGCTAACGCGCTTCCAACTCATTTGCATGGCGCTCAGTGATAGGCTGGGTAGGCTGGAGTATTAGCGCGCAGATTTAAGCTTGAGCTATGAAATCATTTTTCCTCCCTCTTAGAATTGATGGCAATTTTTCAGGAGTAGGTGGACGAAGGCTTTATGAGATGCCCTTGTGGCCTTAGAGACAACTGAAGGAGTCAAGGGCTGAAACAGAGGCCCCATGTCAGAGTTGACCCATTGGCCCATGTTCTCTCCTTAAATAAGTTGTATTCAATACATATTATTGATACCAAAAACTTCCGGGGAATACCACCAATACACATGGTTCATTTGTTCTGCTCCAGTTCCTTGAAGACACAAAACAGCACCAATGGAAGTGGTGTTTCTCCAGTGGTGGGATTCAGCCAGTTCGCACCACTTCGGCAGAACCGGTAGCTAATTTTTTGTTGCCCAGGCCTAGAACAGACTTCCGGAAGCGGCATCCACACAGAGAACCGGTTGTTCATCTATTTGAATCCCACCACTGTATTTCTCCCGAATTTGAATTTGAGGCTATGTGTGTGTAGATTCACACACCGCAATAAGCAAGGATATCGTTTGTTTGACATTTCCTTGCTTGCTATGGGGAGCCAAAGCCACTGTGGTTTGCAAACCATGTTTTCTCAGGTTAATAGGTTGTGTAGTGCGCTGGTCTACTTTAAAGGGTAGTTAAGCAAACGATGCCTTGGTGGAATTAATATGTGAACCCGGTCTAAATCTCAGAGCACTTCAAGTGAGCGGTTCTCTCCCGTTAGGTCTGTAGGCTCAGATTTCATTCTCAAAACTGAATCTTGGGGAAGCTGAAAGATGGCAAACAGCCTCTGCTGGCGGAATAATCAATTACAGGAAAAGGTCCCCCCCCCAATATGCAAAGCAGAAAAAGGAAGGGCTCGTTTGGCTGAGCTGTCTGGCGTGTTTACACCGGTGCATTTTCAGTTTCTGGAACTGACATCCACCCCTTCCCTAGTAATTAAGGCGTGGTCCCTCTCCAGGGCGCCGAGGGTGTCCCCTATATATTATATTTATCCAAACGCCGTTTCTTCCAAGCGTCCATTTCCCCATCCAAAACCCCCCAGCTCTTTCCCAGCGATGGAAACGGGGCGGGCTCCGATGGCTCCTCTGTGGCTCCACCCGGGGCTGACGGTCGGGGACCCCCCAGCCTCCCTTCTGCAAAAGAGGGGCTCCCCCCAAAGCCAGGCTGGGGAACAACGCGCCGGAGCTGCGCCCCGCCAGCCGGCTTCAAACAAGGCGACTTTGGAGGAGGGGGAAAAGGCGAGATCCCCGCCCACCGCCCGGGAGAGGTTTGGATAGGCTGGCGCATTTTCGCGCGCAGATTTAAATTCGAACTATCCCGGAAGCTGTGTAATTTTGCGCACCTTTGGGCAAAGCCATGGCGGGGCTTGTAGATTTGAAGCCGGCGCAAATAGAAGAGTACCGCAGGTATTTCCGGAGGGGTTTGCATGCACGGGGAAGGGGGGGGTCTCGCGATTTGCTTCCGGCAAGCCCTCTCTTTGTGGGTGGGCTTGGCAGGACCGGGGAGAGGGTTTTTTTTTTTCCATATTCATGGAATTCATCTTTTTTCTACTAAAGGGGTCGTCCCAAAAGGTCCTTTTCTGCAAAAGGCAGTTAGACTTTTTTTTTTTTACCTTTGAAAACGTTTGAAAACGAAGGGCACCTTTGGGACGACCAGGACCTGGATGGTTGAGAATCTCCATAGCGTAGGAGATACTAAGGGGGTCCTTTATCAGTGGGGGGTGGGGGAGCTAAGAGCGAAGCAGAATCGTTATTTGGGGGAAAGAACGCGAGTGTCAGCCCTGCGTCTGCTCGGGGCCTTTAAGTAAGAACGATCCTTGGCTCCATTTGGTGAGAAAGGTATAGCTTACTAAAGGGTTAAGCGGAAGGCAGTAAAGCAAAGGCAGAACTGGAGTTTGCATGCCCAAATTCCGAGTAAAGCTTTCCCCCCCCCCTCCGCTTTAGGCCTTCCCCATTTTTGTTTCCGCCCCCCCCCCCCTTGTCCAATCGGTTTTGAACAAATTGTTTTGGAAACAGCCTCTCTGTTTGTAGACTGGCAAGCAGCTGCATTTTTCTCATTCCAGAGAAGATACCGGCTGGCACTCGCACTCTTTTAACTTTCACTTTCTCCCATCTCTTAGCTTTCACTTTCCCCCCCCCCCCACAGGCTCTGCCCCTCCTGTTTCCCCCACAACCACAACGGGTGTGAGGTGGGTTGCGCTGAAAGAGAGGGATTATTAGTCCAAAGTTACCCATTCGGTTTTCATGTCTAAGGCAGGACTACAACGCAAAGTGTCCTGGTTTCTAGGCCAGTGCCTTGACCACTAACTGCCTTAGCATTTGGTAAGCCAAGCCAACGGTGGCTTACTCAGCAAAGTATGGCTAAACAAAGCACAGCTTAGAAGAGTGGTGCCCAACCTTGGCAACCTGAAGACGTGTGGGCTTCAACTCCCAGAAATTCACCACCCAGTTCTGTTTCCAAAGTTGGACACCCCTCGCTTAAAAGAAGATGTGAATTTAGCCCCTATCTGGATAAACTCCTGTTTGCTAATAATGTCAGTGAAGGACCTTGGCTGCATCTGTTGCTTAAAAAAAAAAAAATCTAAAGTGGGGGGGGGAGACTAGGTTTGGAACTGCATCTTCAATTATTTAGAAGAAAGCCTTGATGAAAACATTTGCTGAAAGTAAAGGATAACTTTGCCAAGCTGTCATCTTGAGGCTGTGGAACAGTTTGCAACCAGCCCTTCTCTGATAGTAGAACTCCATGTTTAGGAGGAAGAAGCAGAAAAGAGGATAATATACAATGCAGGAGAATGTGTGGCCTTTTCAGATTTGCAAAAATCGCCTGGCTTTAGTACAGGTACTCCTCGACTTACCATCACAATTGAGCCCAAAATTTCTGTTGCAAAGTTAAGTGATTTTTCCCCCATTTTACAGCTTTTCTTGCCACATTTGTTAAGTGAGTCACAAGGTTGTTAAGTGAATCTGGCTTCCCTCTTGACTTTGCTTGGCAGAAGGTCACAAAAGCTGATCACGTGACCCTGGGACACTGCAACCGTCATAAATATGAGTCCGTTACCAATTGCCCGAATTTTGATCACAGGGATGCTGCAACAGTCTTGTGAAAAACGGTCATAAGTCACTTTTTGCAGTGCTGATGCAACTTAAAATGGTCACTAAACGAACTGTTGTAAGTTGAGGACTACCTGTACTAGCCTAGAAATAAGCGCTACTATTACCACCCACCTCCGAATCCAAGGCATTTCTGTTGCACAGGGAGAAAGCACTAAAATAATTCTCTCCCCTGTTCTTTATTTTTCTGCCCTTGAGTGGGTTTTTTTTGTCTGTTTCTTTCTGACTCCAGAACTGTCTCTTGATTTCACAGATATGTGTCCCAAGCAAAGCAGGAAGCCAGAAGTGGGAACTTGGAAGCATCTATCCAATTGTTCCAACAGGCACTTGAAATCCATTTCAGTGAAAAGCTGACAGCGAACATTAAAAAGTTAGAGGAAGCCCTGGCTTCTCTGTCTGTGGACCAGGAGGACGACGACTTCGTAGATGTGTGTCAGAGTGGACTCATGCTGTTCGGAGAAATACACGACAAGCTTTTTGATCATCAGAGGGAAGGGGTTGCTTTTTTGTACAAGTTGCATCGAGATGGAAGGAAGGGTGGCATCCTGGCAGATGACATGGGCCTCGGGAAGACCGTTCAGATCATCGCCTTCCTCTCGGGGATGTTTGACGCAGAACTCATCCGCTCCGTGTTGCTGGTTCTCCCAACCACCCTTCTTAACAACTGGGTGAAAGAGTTTGCCAAGTGGACCCCAGGCCTGCGAGTGAAAGTTTTTCATGGGACCAACAAAGCTGAACGCAACAGATATCTGGATCGGATCCAGAGGAGAAAGGGCGTCTTGCTCACAACCTACCAGATGGTCCTCAACAACTGGCAGCAGCTATCTAGCTTTGATGGGAAAGAGTTTGTTTGGGACTATATCATTCTGGATGAAGCCCATAAAATCAAAACTCCGTCTGCCAAAACGACAAAATCTGTGCATGCCATTCCTTCCAAAAACCGCATCCTTCTCACAGGGACCCCAGTCCAAAACAATCTGAAAGAACTTTGGGCGCTTTTTGATTTTGCTTGCCAAGGCTCACTTTTGGGTACCATCAAAACCTTTAGGATGGAATATGAGAATCCTATCACAAAAGCTAGGGAAAAAGACGCCACTCCTGGAGAGAAAGCTCTGGGACTTAAAATCTCGGAGAATCTGATGTCCATCATTAAGCCGTATTTTCTCAGACGGACTAAAAATGAGCTCCAGAAGAAGAAGAAGACTGAGCTTTCAAACCATCTTCCTGAAGACCAAAGTAAAGGTGTTGCTCCTGCCATGCCTTCTCTTCCTCGAAAGAACGAGTTCATCGTATGGGTGTTCTTAGCACCTGTACAAGAGGAAATATATAGAAAATTTATCTCTTTGGATCATATCAAGGAGCTGTTGATGTCTACAAGGTCCCCACTGGCTGAACTGAGTATTCTGAAGAAGCTCTGTGATCATCCAAGGCTCTTGTCAAACCGAGCATGTAGTCAACTTGGGCTGGAAGCATCCAATTACAGCGAAGAAGACGTTGGTGAAAATGACCTTAGTGAGCTTCCAGACATGAAGAGGAGTATTGAACATGTTTCTGATGAGATGCTAATTCAGGAGTCTGGAAAGTTGAGCTTCCTTGTGGCGCTGCTGGAAAGACTGCAAGACGAGGGACATAGAACTCTGGTGTTCTCCCAGTCACGAAAAATGTTGGACATTATAGAGCGCATCTTAACTCACAGGGGCTTTAAGCTCATGCGTATTGATGGGACAGTGACCCATTTGGTCGAACGAGAGAAGAGAATTGGTATGTTTCAGAAAGATGGAGACTACTCTGTCTTTCTGCTTACTACTCAAGTTGGTGGGGTCGGTTTAACCTTAACAGCTGCTAGCCGGGTGGTGATTTTTGATCCTAGTTGGAATCCAGCTACAGATGCTCAAGCTGTGGATCGAGCTTACAGGATTGGCCAAAAAGACAATGTCATAATCTACCGGCTAATTACCTGTGGGACAGTAGAAGAGAAGATCTATAGAAGACAAGTCTTCAAGGATTCCTTAATACGTCAAAGCATGGGTGATAAGAAAAACCCCTATCGCTATTTCTCTAGACAAGAGCTAAGAGAGTTGTTCACACTGGCAGACACTCGAAGCTCAGCCACACAGCTGCAATTGCAGTCCTTACACGCCACCCAAAGAAAAACAGACACTGAGTTGGATGAACACATTGCCTATCTCCATATGCTGGAGATATTTGGCATTTCTGACCATGATTTGATGTACACACGTGAGACAGCACATGAGGACGAAGCTGAAAATGAAGAAGCCCACAGGTACATTGAACACAGAGTCCAAAAAGCCCAAGAATTGGTACGACTAGAATCTCAGTTGAATGACCAGCTGATGAGAAATATCAGAAACACGACTGAAGGAGCATGGCTGAGAGATATAGATTCATCCACCCAGCCAAAAACAAAACCACCCAAGTCTTCACCAAGTGACACTCTTGGACCATCCATGTCTGAAAGGACAAGCCCAATAGTCGTGGACTCACCCACTCCATCCATGAAGAAATCACCAACTTCTCCTCCAAGTCCTGTTGTTATGCCACCTGTATATAGTAGTCCTGTCGTCAGTAATGAAGTTGTTGATCTTGTAAGTGATGATGAAAATGATGTTGTTAGTGATATCGTCAATTTGAGCTCTAAAATGACCAGTCTGATTATTGAAGATGGGGCTGATCCATCTCCTGAAGCAAGAAGTGAGCTGAAGGATGTCCAGATGAAACTGCTGCAGGAGTCATTTGTGTATCCTTCTGATGATGGCAGGCACCAAACTGAGACAGAGATGTCACTTGATGTTCTTCCAATCTCTCGTGGAGATGCATGTGAAAAAATGAGCAGTCTGATTATTGAAGATGTGGATGATGAGCAAATGGTTCAGATTATTTCTAATATGGAGGATGCTTCTTCGCCTTCTGAGCAGAAAGAACACCAATTTCCCAGCCTCCAAGAATGTGAAAAAAATCCTGGGACAGGTCTTGTGTCCGCTTTTCAGACTCCTTCAGGATCTAACAAGGTGGACTGCAGTCCTGAATCCAGGGCAATCTCTGAGCTACCTGCCAAGGATACGGATGATGAGCAAATGGTTTTCCACACAAATAACACGGATGTTCTGCATTCCAAAAACAAAGAATGTCAACTAAGCGGACTGCAAAGAGATGAGCAATATGAAAGTCTAAATGTTGCATGTTCTTTTCTCCAAGTGATTTCATTGTCTGTGGAAGGCAATGTCAACTCTGAATCCAAACAGATGTCTTGCGATCCATCTCCTGAAGCAAGAAGTGAGCTGAAGGATGTCCAGATGAAACTGTTGGAGTCATTTGTGTATCCTTCTGATGATGGCAGGCATCAAACTGAGACTGAGATGTCACTTGATGTTCTTCCAATCTCTCATGGAGATGCATCTGAAATTAATGCACTAGATGCTGTGGCACCCCATGAGACCAGGACTAGCAAAATAACAGAAAGCAGTACACTGCAGAAATCTGGAGCGAGAGAAACCAGGCAGGATGAATCTTTTGACATTTGCTCTCACTTTCAGGTCAATTTTAATCTCGCCTTGGAGGATTCTGAGAACAGACCACAAACTATCTCAGAAAAAGACATGTCATTGGATGAGACAGAAAATGAAGGATTCCAGCTGCGGTTGGATAGCTACTGTAGCTCTGCCACTGAATCTGTTGGGGGAGAACATGGGCATCCCAGTAACCTCCACACTTGCAATGCTGTAGATGGCTCTGTGGTCATGGACGATGCCAACAGTCCATGTGATAGCAGAGACAGTTTTGTGTGGGGAAAAAAGAAGCCTGCTCCAATTATTGTTTCGGATGAGGAAGACGAAAATGATGAATTAATAGATGATCTGGATGAGGACAAAGCAGGTGGAATTTGTATGTCTACGCCAAAGACCAACAGGCCAACGGCTGCGGTTTGTTTTTCTCCAAGGATCAAATTGAGTGGAAGAAGATCAACAGCTTCTCGTCGATCTCTTTTTGATGTGGTCTTGGAAGAAGTGGAGGGTGCACCCAGAGAAGCAGGGACTGCCAGCAATGTATCTCATGATAGGTCTGTTCAGCACGAGTCTGAAGAAGAGCTAACCCAAAATTACACTGAGCAAACGTCAGAAGAATTGGAAGAGGAGCCATCAGGAGAAACGCTGGATTCTGAGAGCGAATCTAGCCATCTTCATGATACAGACACTTCAAGAGGAGAATCTTCTCTCTGAAGGAACAGTTAGAGGGGAATCTAATCCATCTGAAACAAAGAAAGCTCTAAGTTACTGTGCTTGAGTTGAATGTTTGTTCTGAAGACTTGTTCCTATGGTTGGATTTTATTTTGGAGAACCAGCTGCTGAAAATTAATATACAGCATATTTAGAACTGTCTTAGCAGACTCTTTTAGTTCTTTGTTATGTTTTTCTGCCTTTCATTTCAAAGGCAGTTCAATTTCTATCAACCCTGTTGTCTTGGGTATGGCCAAGGTGCTGGATTTTGGAGAGTCAGTTCTCCTTTAGGTAGCTAATCTTTCATTGGGCTGTATTACTTGAGACCTTTATTGCAATGATGATTGAGTCTCCTATTCAAAAAAAAGTAAAAAATAAAAAAAAAATCCTGATAATGGAAGACTGACATGCCAGATAAGGTCTGATTAATGTCTAGCATTGACAATTGACTCATATGATCCAGTAATAATGACTTTTAGCACCTGGAAAATGCTTAGACCAGTGTTTTCCAATCTTGGCCAACTTTTAAGATGTGTGGATGTTAAGTCCCAGAATTCCTCACCGATCTTCTTGACTGGGGAATTTTGGGGTTTGAAGCCCACACAATTTAAAGTTGCTAAGGTTGAAAAAAAAACTGGCTTAGTCATTGCCATAAAGCCTAAAATATGACCATTCCATTAATCAGATAATAGGAATAGCTTGAGCAATTGAAAGTCATTTTCCTATTTTTAAATATCCCAACAGTGGTTTTTTTCCACCTAGTTTTTATACAAATACTAGCTGTTGACTACAGTTGAGCCCAGTATTTCCATTGCTAAGCAAGACAGTTGTTAAGTGAATTTCCCCCCATTTTATGACCTTTCTTGGCACAGTTGTTGGGTCAGTAAACATGGTTGTTAAGTGATTCTGGCTTCCCCATTGACTTTCCTTGTCAGAAGTTTACAAAAGTTGACCACATGACTCTGGGACACCACAACTGTCGTAAAATACATGCCAGTTGCCACGTATGCAAATTTAAATCACATGACCCTGTGGATGTTGCTCGGTGTGTAACAGTGAAAAATGGTCACAAGTCACATTTTTCAGTGCCCTTCTAACATCGCTCACTAAACAAATGGTTGTAAGTTGGGGAACACTATAAAACTTTTCCCCCTTGACTGGCGAATACGTCGTGCTACATCAGAAGTGAAAAGTCAAATACGTGGTCTATTCCTTATTCATTGTGGTTGCAGAATGGCTGGGTTCACACAACACTAAAATCCATGCATTGTAAAAAGGCAATAGCTGGCTTATACCTTAACTTAACCTGCTGCGTGGGGGTGTTGCAAAAAGAAATTTTACTCAGAAAGAGTAAAATTCACCTTGCTTTCTCTATAGGCTGTTTTGGTTAGGGCTAGAAACAAACAAAATGCAGAATAACAGAGTTGGAAGGGATCTTAGAGATCTTCAAGTCTATCTCTTTCCTTTCTTCCTCTCTTTCCTTTGTTCCTCCCTCCTTCCTCCCTCTCCTTCTCTCTTCCCTCTTTTGTTTTTCTCTCCCAGTTCCTCTCCTTCCTATCCCTCCCTCCCTCCCCCCTCCCCTATCGCAAAGAAACCTGTGTTGAAGCAGAGATCTGTGATCTCTTGCCCTTTCCCAGTCAAAATCCACAGTATGACCAGTGGGGTTCTCCTTATCTGTAAACTTGCAGATACATAAGTGATCCAATCAAAGCTTATTTAATTAAGTCTCCTTAAAGTGATATAATCGTTATAATTGCTAGCTGCTGAAAATTCTCTAAAGTGGACTTTCATTTGTCTTGAGCATTACTACATAAATCGATGCTGCAGCTGGCAACATTTTTAAGCTGGTTCCTGCATTGTTTGGTTTGGATTGGTGGCTTTTGTGGACCCAGCTATTGTGGTTTGCAAAGTTTGCTTTGTGCTTTAGTGTTATACAGGCTTTTCCAGTTGTGCCATGCACTAAATACATTTTCCAGTTGTGATTTATTCATGTCAAGAGTTAAACAAGCTGTCTCAATGCTAGCCTCTAAGGTAGGGCCAAGTCAAGAAACAGGCAAGGCAAGGACTCTTTATTGTGGTACGGTAGAATAACGCCCTTAAAAACCTATCCAACTTTCCTTCTGTTCCATTTTCTACTAAACAAAATAAGGCACAATCATTTTACATTCCTCATTTTTCAACAGAGAGGTTTCCACCAATCCACAATGACATTAGGCTTTGCTGGTGATACTGTACTGTTGAGCGTAGGAACTCAACCAACTTAAGTCCATCCTCCTGGCCCAATAATTTTAAAATTCTTCTTACAGGTTTCATCTCTTTTGAGCTGTTTGCGAGGCTGTGCTCCTACTGGTGAGCATTTATGTAGACTGAAACTGTCAGAGCTTGTGACCATAATTTATTCCATTTCCTTTCTATAAAAGACCCGGTTTGGGGGGTGAGGGGGGGGTGAGCAGCATCCATGTCCCAACAATCTACTTTTGTGTGTCAGAAAGGAAGCATCCAATCCTGTCCAGGGTACATTTCCTTCCTTTTGAGTGTTTAAATATAGAACCAACTGAGGTCCCTGCCTTCCTTCTATCTAGAATGAGTCACCTCTCCTTGACGTCATGTCTCAGAAAAGGCAAGTGTGCTTCGACGTCATTGGAGGTGGCAGCTGCACCTTGTCAGGTCCTATTGATCTCCCATTCCATCAGAAAGAGAGAGAAACAGACAGAGAGAGATTCCAGATGCTCTCTGTCTTTCTGGTCTCTCTCCATTGATGTCATCAGCTTTGTCTTCATACTGAAAGCTAAGACAGGGTGCTGGTGTCCAAACCCAAGCTTGACCTTTCTTTCCAGCCAGCACCAAAGGAAACAGCTCTACAAATCCTTTTTGTACTGCATGACTGGAATCATCCCGAATTGTCCTTAAGTTGGGGTGGAATCTTAGTCATTCATCTGATGCTTATGACTGGTTACTCAACCCCCAACTACCTTTGGAGGAGTGAAGTTAACTCAACCCAGTCCTGTAGCTTTACCTATTCCAGGGCTTTTCAACCTTTTCACCCATTGTACCACTTTTAGGAGATGGCACTATCCGAGTACCACCAGTCGCCTAGCAAGGGGTCAAAAACTTGATGACAAAAAAATAAAAAAAGGAAAAAAATGATAAAGTACAGGTAGTCCTCGACTTACAACAGTTCGCTTAGTGACTGTTTGAAGTTACAATGGCACTGAAAAAAGTGCCCCCCCCAAACCACAGCCGAGCAAAACACCTGCCTGCCCGCCCGGCCGTGCTCTTCTTCCTGTCCGAGGTTTTCATTGTGAGCATTTCTGTTGAGGATTGGCAGCGGGGGTGGGGTGGGGGGTGTTTGTTTTTTATTCCCCCCATCTGCTGGGTGGTTGCAGCAGGTTTTGGTCACTTCACATGACCCTGGGACACTGTGACCGTCATAAATATGAATCAGTGGCCAAGCATCTGAATGTAAATCACAAGACCCTGGAGATGCTGCAACATTCCTGCTGATCGGCGCTTCTTCTGGGCTCAGCGGAAGCGCCAGGATCAGCGCCGAGCTCCAGCTGGAGCCTGGCGCTAATCCTGGCGCTTCCACTGAGCCCTGACAGCCCTGCAGCTCCAGCCATCTCTCACTCACGCTTGTGCGGTGCTGCCACCAGTATAGCTCATTCCCCTCCCCCACTACCACTTCTCTAGGATGGTGGCATACCACTTGCCAGGTGCCAATGTACCACAGGTGGTACCCGTACCACTGGTTGAAAAGCCCTGACCTAGGAGACACTGACTTACTCGAGTTACGACCACAAGTGAGCCCAACATTTCTGTTGCTAAGTGAGACATTCATTAAAAGGGTTTTGCCCCATTTTGTGACCTACCTTGCCACAGTCGTTAAGTGGGTCGCTGCAGTTGTTAAGTTAGTAACATGGTTGTGAAACGAATTTGGTTTCCCCCCTTGACTTTGCTTGTCAGGTCGCAAAATGGGATCACATGACCCCGGGACACTGCAACCGTCATAAATATGAGTCAGTTGTCAAGGGTCTGAGTTTTGATCTTGTGACCCCAGAAGAAGCTGCAACCGTTGTACGTGTGCAAAATGGTCATCCGTCACTTTTTTCCAGTGATGATGTGACTTTGAACAATCACTAAATGGACTGTTGTAAGTCGAGGACGATCTGTATAAACCTCATAGGGTTAGCAAAGGTGGTAAATATGGGATTGGTTAGTTGCTGGCTCTAGCTGCAGCCAAGTGGTGAGAATAAATATTAATTTTGCAGACTTGCTCCCTATTCCTTTGAACTTACCATAGACCAAGTCTCACACAGCCAGACATGATCAAGGAAGCAAGCAGTATGTAGACTTCAATAAAGTATCTTTAATACTGGTCTGGGATTAAATACAGAATCTTGGAAAATTGTGTGCAGCAGCGACCAAAAAAGCTAATACAATCCTGGGATGTATAAACAGGCATAGAATCAAGATCGCGCAAAGTATTAGTACTGCTTTATAAAGCCCTAGTAAGACCACACCTCGAATACTGCAGCCAATTTTGATTACCATAGCACAAAAAAGATGTTGAAAGTTTGGGAAAAAATCAGAAGAGCAACTAAGATGATCAAAGGCCTGGAGACCAAAACATATGAAAAATGGCTGCGGGACTTGGGTTTGGCTAGTCTAAAGAAAAGAAGAAATAGGGGAGACATAATAGCAGTATTCCAGTATTTGGGGGGCTGCCACAAGGCAGAGGGGGCCAGGTTGTTCACCAAAGCACCAGACAGAAGGATGAGAAACAGTGGTTGGAAACTGGTCAAAGAGAGAAGCAACATGGAATTAAGGAGAAACTTCCTGACAGTGAGGACAATCAACCAGTGGAACAGCTTACCGCCAGAAAGGCTGCTGGAATTGGGTATGTCTAGTTTAATGAAGAGAAGGACGAGGGGGGACATGATAGCAGTATTCCAATACCTCAGGGGCTGCCCCAAAGAAGAGGGAGTCAAGCTATTCTCCAAAGCGCCTGGAGGCAGGACAAGAAGCAACGGATAAGAGAAACTTCCTGACAGTTAGAACAATTAACCAGTGGAACTACTTGCCTCCAGAAGCCATGAATGCTCCAACACTGGAAGTTTTTAAGAAGAGACTGGACAGCCATTTGTCCGAAATGGTATAGGGTTTCTTGCCTGAGCAGGGGGTTGGACTAGATGACCTCCAAGGTCCCTTCCAACTTTATTATTATTATTATTATTATTATTATTATTATTATTATTATTATTATTATTATTATTATTATCATCGTCATCATCGTCATCATCGTCATCATCGTCATCATCGTCATCATCGTCATCATCATGGGCGTTCCATCACTGGAAATTTTCAAGAAGAGACTGGACAATCACCTGTCTGAGATGGTATAGGTTCTCCTGCTTGAGCAGGGGGCTGGACTAGAAGACCTCCAAGATCCCTTCCAGCTCTATTCTAAGTTCAAGAGGAATTTTCTCATTTATCATCGATTGATTAAGCTCTTGGATTAATGCTTTTTTCCACAATTCTTGCCTCCTGGGCTGGGTTGCCAATTATGAGATGGTTCACCTTCTGTCTCTTTGATACTTTACGTCTTCTCCTTTATGCCTTTCTCAGGCTGGCTGCCATCTCCCACCCTTTGGCCAGTCTTTCTCCCAGCCTGTTTTATCCTTGATCTGATTCTTGGAGAACCATCTGTGAATTCCCTTTG